ATATATATATATATATAAAGACATTTTTTTATGTTTATACGTTCTTTTTATAGATACAAATATTTAAGTAAATGCTCTGTTTATAATAAACAGTATTAACAGCATTTACCAGCCTGAATGTCCGAGAAATTTTCATAGAAAATATGTGTCCTCCTACAGGAATCGAACCTATATCCTATATGGAACCGTCATATAGCTTGACGTGCCCTTACCAATTGAACCACAAAGGAGTGTTTCAGTTAGCAAGGTCAATTTTACTGTTTTTAAACTACAATTCTCCATGATTTAAAAACAGTAAAATCAACCTTGCTAACTGAAACACTCAGTTGGTAAAGACATGTCAGGCTATATGATGCTTCTGTATAGGATACAGGTTCGACTCCTGTCAGAGGATGCATATTTTCTATGAAAATTTCTCGGACATTCAGGCCAGTAAATGTCATTAATACTGTTTATTATAAACAGAGCATTTACCTAAATATTTGTATCCATGTCCTTGTTATTATTTGTTTATTTCTTTTCTTACATCCTGGTTGTGAAAATTTTTATTGGGAGGTTGAACTATGGCTTTGTTTACCTGGTGATTTATATTATCTATTTTTACAGATGGTAAAATTTTGATCTTCTTGTTATTTAGTATTATTTATTTCTCTATCACTACAATAGAAGCTATGCAAGAAATATTGGGCTTATCTTAAACAAAAACAAACTTGAGAAGGGAACATCATGTTTCAAAAAACATCTTCAATGACCAGAAAAAAGTAAAAAGAGAGAATACATATACCTTGGCAGTTTCATCAGCAAGACTAAAGTCCTTGACCATGAACTGAAATATCAGATTGGAAAAACATCATCATTCAACTTTCTTGAGTACATTTGAAATTAGATGCCTATGTAAAATAGTGGACATTATATGTCAAAAAAACAGGTTAGTAACAGATCAAAACAGTTCTCCCAGTCAATCACCATTTGCAGACAGTAACTTCACTGGTTAGGACAGGCCTTGTAGATACCCACATAAACTACAAATCAAGTCACTACATAGATGAAAAAACAGAGCAGCTCAAAATAAACTGGCAACAGGGCAAAGAACCTCCAACTGGTCAGTAGAAGGTGGAACAGCATCAAACTGTACATGGTGCACCATTTTAGCCGTGTGCTTGACATGGAAGTAAGTAAATCGATGTAGTCATAAAGTATAAATTGTGTAAAAAAATAGCAATTATTTGACTGAGTTATGAGCAATTACTGTTTTTGGGAAACAATTGTAATAACCAATGTATCATCTTAACTACTAATCATATATAGCTGTGATGGCAAGTAACACTCAAGATCTTTAGTTGATATCAGCAACTAAACATTGAACTTATCATCAAAGGCCAAAAACCTTGAGAAGGGAATATCACATATCAATAAATGTCCTCAATAACTAGAAGGTAGAGGAGGTAGAAAATTTCATATACCTTGGCAATTTCCCCAGCAAGACTAATGTCCTTGACCATGAATTAAAATACCAGATTGGAAAGACAACAGTAACATTCCTCCTCCTGTGGAAAGAATGGAACAAGAATTTTTCTCTTAGAACCAAATTGAGGTTATGAAACTCAAATGTGGCATCCATGTTGCTTAATGGCTACAATGCCCGTCTACTTATGATACTTCCTGCTCAGGAGAATAAATTATATGCCCTTGACATGGAGTGCATACATAAATTGCTCTCCATCAAATTGAATAAGCATGTGTCAAATGAATAAGTCAGAGACCACCATTTGCAGACAGTACCTCTGCTCTTGAAGCTTCTCACAAGAAGACCTTAAATGAAGTTGTTAAAAGGACATGAAAAGGTCTAAGTAAGAGACAGAGTACCAAAGATGAGCCAGTGACTGACACTGGAGAGAGACATCTGACTGTTCAACAGGTAGAACAATATCAACAAAATGGTAGAAGAGCTTGTAGAGTAGCTTGACTTGTGCCATCATTTAGGAGCAACTAAATCTGAATAAACTCTGATTAGCCAGAGCTGTAGTATGTTAGAATCCTCTTAAAGAAATAAAACCATTTTGGGGTCATTACTTAGTATGTACTGTAGTGATAACAATAAATAAATTACTAAATAACCCCCAACCCCTATTACTAGACTATGTAGTAGTCTGGAAGCAAAATAATTTATAATAAAAGAAAAATTAAAAGTTAAGCAATAAAAATACTTTAAAATATACATAAGAATGGTAATTAACAATAAAAAAATATTAAAGTTAGATTATTAAAAAATAGTTAAATAAAATATAGAATACTCCCATGATGCATCAGAATAAGCATTTTGCTGTCAAAAAAAACAAAAATCAAAACTTTTTCTCTGTTTTTTGACCACCAAAAAAGGCAGATGTTCTGGACAGTCTGGGATAAAATCTGTTGCCATCAACAGATAAAAAAATTTCTTTATTTCTGTATACATATATGTTCTTTAAAATATACAATCATTTCTCTGAAATGTATACTAAAGCAATTTATCATTTTTTTTGTATGCTTATTTAGTTGTATCTCATATATGATTTTGTTTGTAATATTATAATTCCATTGTGTTCTTGTGACACACTTTTTAACCCTAAAAAAATAACATTCAGACAAGGTCAGTGCATCACCAGAACATCACAACAGACCTTATGAAGAGGAAACTTCTGCTAACAGACTTTAGAATATGTCTGCAAATCTCTGAAAAAAACATTTTTGAAAATGCATTGAAAAAACAGATATAAATTTTTGAAGAATAATTAGTGTGAACTCATTTTAGTAACCATGTTTTTGAAGTTTAAACGTATTTTCAATTAACGAAAAATATACATAAATTCTCTAAGGAAGAAAATACGCAAAATTCTGTTAATATAATTAATATTGACTCAGAATCATATTTAAACACGAGAAAAGGCCATTGATTAATTTGTAAAGAGTGAACCAGCAACATTCACCTCTACAAACAGCAACCAAATATAAAAAAAGGATTCTTTAGGTGCTTAGTAGATGAGGAGAGGGGAAGTTTTATTTTTTATTTTATTTATTTTTTTTCAAGGAAATTTTATTTAAGACCACTACTTCTATTAAATACACATTTTAACCCTTTAAATGATTTTCTAACCCTCACCTTTTATTAAGAAGAATTCCACCACCCTGGTCAATTATTAAAGTACTGTGCCATCCCAATTTGTAATAGGCACCAAAGTGTAATCAATATGCAATCTCCTTTTGATTACTGAAAGTGGATAAAAATAAAATAAAAACTTGGGAAAAAATACTTTTTAACAAATCTCAGATTTCCTCATTTTTCAAAAGACAAGGCCCTGGGAGCCACCTTGATGCAATAAAATCTGCAGAAGGCAGATGGAGTGTAAACCTGTGCCATCCACCAAATGAAATTATGTTGCTTTGATCTGGGATTCAATTTTTATTTATTGCGCCAGCATTACTACAGCAAGTAAAAAAAATATTGAAATAATTTCACATGAGCTTCATAATCATGAACTTTTTCACAAAGATTCTTTTCACCATTTAATCTTTTTTTACTATTGTTCACCCCATACAAGACTCAAAGAACCATTCAAGGTAGAGTGTTTGTGTTACTAAATGTTCTTGTATAGAGCGTACAAGGTGAGAGCAAAAAATGCACAAAACCAAATTTTAACCTCGACTTAGTGATTGGGGAAGAAGCATCCTCACGTGAGTCCTAACCACAATGCAACACGAGAACTTAAGTTGACAGACATTTTTAATTTAAATACAAACAATAATCCAGCCATGTAATTTCTGAATAGTTAAAAAAAAAATGTTATTGCTATTTGTTAAACGTGCCTACTATTTTTCTTCATATATTCAAGTAGACGCTTGCATTACTGCTACAAACAAACAGACAAGGAAATATAAAACAAATAAAGAAGGCCTAGCTTTTTCCCCAGTACCGAAGAAGATTGCATTCCTTTTTTTAATCTCTCCTTAATGACCTCACAAAATGTTTGCGCACAGAATACTTATGGAATCAGATAATTAAATATTTAAACTTATCCGGGAGAAGGTCAGAGAAAAATCAAAAATCTTTGTTTTTTTTTTTTTGACTTTTGAAATGTTATTGAAATTTACCAGCTTAAAAACTTTTATTAATGGTCGTATACAGAAAATTGAAAAATCTAATTCTAATAGTTCACAATTAATTCACATCACTATGAATTTCAAATTTATTTTAGACACTTCATAAACCCCCACCCCCAAAAAAACGCACTTTTATATCCCTTTAAGAATTTCTTTAATTTTTGTTTATTTTTATGAAGTAAAAAACCTTAAATTTGTTAAAAATCATAGAAATACTAAGTTTGTTTCAATTATTTTTTTTAAATATCGTTTGTTTCTAAAGAAATCATTAAAAGATTTCTTGCTCGAAAAAGGATAATTTCTCTCACACACACAGATACACTTTCATATTTTTAACAGTAAAAACTGCATGCAATTAAATTAATTATTGATATTTAAAGAAAAGCAAATTGCGGGTAAGACAATCATTGTGCCATTTTCCCAATTGGGATGGACCTGACTTACTTTTTTTGTCAAAAAGTTTTTTATAATTTTAAAAATCGTGGCTTTTTATTTATTCTTTTTTAATTTTTACCTGAGCTCGAACACAAACCACTGGGTCAGTAAGAAAATACCCAATTTCGCCTACTCAGGTCAGTAGGATCTGATTATCATTTTTAATTGTTATAATTTTTTTCTATTTTACGAAGAGCTCAGGATTGTTGTTTGTTTGTTTTGTTAGTCATAAAATCCGCAAAAGGCCAAATCGGTTAACTTTTTTATTTTAAAACGTGTTACTTCATGCTTACCAGAAAGCGCAGGGAACAAGACTGGACATGTAATGATCAACAAGTCATTTTAAAACCAAACTCAACTGCTGCCTGATTGCTTTGAGAGAGGGAAAAGCATTTTTTAATATACATTGGAAATCAATCATTTTTAAGAAGCAGGAAGAACAGCGAACTAAAAAATATCACTCATGTAAGTAAAATTAAACTTTTGTTAATTAAATACTAAAATCTGAAAACATAATCTGAACAATAAACCGAAACGGTTTCCCCTCAGCAAGATAAAAATAACTTATATTTTATTCATAACATTGTTTTCGTTTCGGTTTCCAAAAATAAATGCCCTACAGTACACACGTGTTTTGTTTTTTCTCCATTGAAAAAGGTTTTGTGCAAATAAAACAATTCTTTAAAAGACTATTTTAATTTTACTACTCTGAGCTTCCAAATGTGCCCCTCAACAAAATGAATGAATTTAAAAAGAAGTGACGTTAACTACAAATTAAAAAAATAAAAACTGTAAAAAAAAAAAAAAATTGGTGTACTGTAGTTGTTTATTTACTAAATTTAAATTGTACAAAAAGTCGAACGGAGATTGTGTTGGGTCAATCTTTAAACTAGGAATCTGACTATTTTTACCCAGAAAATATGTTTTTTCTTTTGTTTTTGTTTTTTGTTGAGACTTGAACACCAGTCATTAATCAAGTGAAAAATAGATAAAAACTAATCCCCTAACTAACATACCCGTAAGAAGGTAAGGAAGATCTTAAAATAAATTAAGAAAAAAACAACTTATTTTACAAAATTGTGGTTCAAAATAGGAAAGCAGTGAGGTATAGCACTTTTGTTAATTTGTATAAACTTGCAAATGAATTGTTATAGGAAGGAAATTGTTTGTTTTTTTTCCAAAAGAATTAAAAAAAAAAAACAATAAAATTATTTTATAAAATTATAACGAAGTTTATTATATTATAAATTTTATTCCACATTTAGTTTAAGGTAAACTAAGTACATCATTATTACAAACAATAGAATTTACATTTTACATTTTTTTATTTTTGATCTGCAAATATTATTCATTCTTGAAAAAATATCTTTGCAAAAAAAAAAAAAAGTCAAAATGTAACCTTGAAAACTAAAAGAATTGATGTATTAATTCTGGATATACCAGATCCAGTGGCCGATATGAAAGTAAGTTTATGAAACTAATAATGAAGCTTAAAGCTTTTGTGTCCCTCTATCCCAGAGGGGACCCCCTGAAGCAACTTTTTTTAAGGAGTGATTTTTCAACAAAATCGATGTTTTTTGTTGTTTTTTTTTTAAGTAAGTGTTTTAAAAATTTATAAGGCCATATTTTTTTAAGCCAATGGGTTGAAGTAGCTAATGTTGCCTTTGCCCATTTCAAAATTCTCCTGTCGGTTCCTAGCTCTACAACCTACAATAGCTATAAATAACATTTAAAATTTGTGCATTTTTGAACTTCAAAAGTGGATCACAGATATTTCTCTGACTCCTGATTGGTCGATTAATGCTAATATCATGTTTTCTACTACGTCCGCACAGTTAAAATCATCAACTCTTTCTCTTTTTCTCTCTTTTACTTTCTCTCACACATACAAGATGTAGCATTAGAGAGATTACGTTTAACCCTTTTGGGCAAATGCTATGACGCATACAGATGCGTACGGATATTGAATGTCTCTTAACTCATCAACTACAAGCAACAGAAACTTATTTACTTCAAAATCTTCTGGAGCTATAAGTTTCAATTCAGCATATTCTCAGCTTTCCAGAATTCTCTCACTTATATTCATCTCTCTTCAGTGAACAATTTAAGCAGCAAGAATTCAACTTTTTGATATTCAAGTGAGTTTACATTTACTGTCAATCAACGAGTTTCTTTGAACTCATCTTACACCAAATTTCAGCATACAACTTATCAAAGAACATTCTTTCCATTGACACTTACTATTATTTCATGAACTGAAATCTTTTCTGTGAGTCCTGATAAAAAAATATATCTTCCTTAAAGTCTTAACTAATTCAAATAACAGTTAAAGGTGAATAACTCCTGCTATTAATTACAACTCTTAGTATATAAAAATCAAACACTTGATTGTTTTGTATGTCATACAGTAAAATGAATATTGTTATTATAAAGATAGTTTTTGTGTTGTTTCTTTTGTTTGATGACACATTTATTAAATTATTTATTGACAGAAAAACAGAATCGACGAACTGAGTTCAAATTCAGGTAATTTACATATCCTCACATAAAAATAAAGGCTTGTGTCGCATCATCCAACCTTAGTGGGGAGGTCAGGTATGCAGGTAGAATTCTTGTTTCATTTTTAAGATTGCTTATAAAAATACTTTCACTTTTTCATCATCTAAAACTTCATTACTTTGATGAATTCAATCACCTTTAGTTTCCTTTATAAAAAAAAATGAATCTTTCAAAGAACGTCAACTTTATTGTTTTTGTTGATTATTGCAATCACAATATTTTTTTTTATGTTTTTAAGCCTTTTTAGTTTTGAGTATTTTTCTATTCCAAAGGAGGCAAATGCTGGAAAATTTATTGCTTAATTTTTCTAATTTTATTATTTTATAAATGCTTTCATTTTTAATTTTTATTTTCTGTTAGTAGACAAAAGAAAAAACTAAATATTGTAGTCAAGGGAAAAATACTCTTTTTTTTTTTTTTCTTTTTTGCATATTGTTCCTTCAGTAAATTTTGTTCATGAACAATGAAGTGTAGTACATTATATCTAATACAGTATCCTTCTGATAAATTATATATTAAAATAATTCTTTTTGCCTGGGGGAATGGGAGAAGAGAGAATGTCACTTCTCTTATCCTAAATATTAAAATAGGTGCAAACGATAAAAAATATTCAAAACTGCCTTGTGAAATTTGAAAGTTACAAATATTTATTATACAATATAAAACAATATAACAAAGTACAAATCTTACAAAAACACTTGCACAAACATTTCCTTTCATGTGCCTTATTAGAAACAAGGCAAAATAACATAATAAAAATATAGAAACACTTGGCTCTAAAAAAAGATATACAATAAAAATTTTTTTCAAGTCATGAAAGAAAAAACTTTGAGAAGGTGATATGAAAAACATTGAAAAAAGAAGAAATTACTCTTAGAAAAAAGGTGCTCCCACCTAATAGATAAACAAAAAATCCATGTGTTTTTTTCCCCTCAAGAGTCTCAGTGAGGTTTTAACAATATTTTTGAAATGTTATTCTGTTTTCTTTCTGCTTGGGTCCCAAGAGTTCACTGGGGCATTTTAACTATCTTTTTGCAATGTCATTCTGTCTTTCTGCTTGGCTTTCATGTAATTCATTAGGTTTTGCTTTTGCTTTTCCCATGAAAATCTCTATGAAGTATTACATTATTGTGAAATGTTTTTTGGTGACGTAGTTTTTAAGAATGTCAAAACCTTTCTGCCCTTTACTCAGATAGCGACTTTAACACAAGGAAGCCTGATATTTTTCTGCAGCCAGGTCATCTCATCCCATCTCTGAAATGTATCACTCCCTTCTGCTCACTTACATCTAATTCCATCTGATATCTAACTCCCTTTGGCTATTCATCCACTGACCCATCTTTAATATCCACAAATGAGCTCCAACTTTAAATTTATAAGGGCATAAGCCACCCTTTTCATTGAACAAAAAATATAAGAGTAATATATTTTTTTTGAATTAGAAAAGTGAATCCCCAACAGTCCACCATGACAGTTATTTCTGGGGGTGCCTTTTAAAGCCAATTCTAAATAAATATTTTTAAACACAAAATGAGACCATTTTTAATAAACCATCTGGCCTTCTTCTAATACACTTCTCAAGAAAGTAAGTGTATAAGACAAACCTAGACTTTTTAACATTTATTTACTTACACTTTTTAATTATTATTTTGTACCATTAAATAATAAAAATGTTTTATATTATCTAACACAATAGTTAGTGAATTATGATTACTGTCCTTCATGACTTAAATTAAAGTGCAGAGTTAGATGCTCTTAGAATCAGGAATAGACAATTGAAATTTCTAGCACACAATGAGGAAAGAAGGTTTGGGGAATCTGACACACACAGGACATACTGAAGGCAAGAGTGTCAGAGGGAAATGGCAAATAACCTACCTAATGAGCTTCTATAAATGGATCGAAGAACAGGGATAATAAGGGAACAAACAATGCTTAGAACTACAAAGGATAGGAAGTTGTAGCAGGCCTTGAAGGGACACAGCTCATAAAAGAAGAAATTATATTCAGCCACACTGAAGAAACAGCCCAGTTCTGAACAGCCCTGGAATACACCTAGATAGATATACATAAAGAAAAAACTCCAGCATTCTTTAGACTCCATCCCATGTAATATAGCCTCTATTAATATGAAGGGAGGAGGTACATGTTTTTATATGCTTTCCAATTTGAAGCTACTTTAATATAAGCCAGTCACTATTGTTTTCTAACAAATAAACATGTAATTTTGGTCTGATTTTTTGGGATTAGGAGTTATCGTTATTTACACTATTTATATTCAAACTATTGATCTCAACAGGTGTATATTGATCCAGGTAACCTGATAGCCAGGTTATGGGGACCTCCTTAGTAGGCCTAGCATATAAATAAATACAATATGGGAGGCACTAACAAAGAAAGAAAGTTAAATGATGGCAAGTCTTCAACTGCAGTGGCAACAGCAGTCAAAACATGACAGCCAGCAGCAGTGGCAGCCTAATCAGCAGTCATAGTTAAGTTTTAGGCTTCAAGTTTACTCCAGCAAATTGTCCTATGGAACAATAGTCTAGTGGTAAAAAGCATTGGTTTGTGAATTTCATGACATAGTGGTTAGGTAATGCATACTTGCACTCGCTGGAAACAGGCAAGCAATAAATGAACAATACTAAATAAAATAAGAACTAAACAATATCACTAGACAGGAATAGCACAATGAGAACATTCTACCACCATAGATTAAATAAAGGGCTCAGTTCAGAATTCCCTATAGATTACCCAGCTTGATATACACCTGAGGAATGCTGGAGGGCACAACAACCAAACTGTTGTGATAAAAATAACAAAGATGAAGACAATAGTCTGAATATAAATAGTGTAAAGAAAACATGTTATGTTTTTGTTCAGATGAAAGAATTTATACGAGATGTATCTTTCCTATTTTACTTACAAAGCCACAAAAATATGACCATATATAGTATAATTTGCATGTTTCATATCCCAACTTGGTTGATACTAAAACATTATAAATTGTAGTAGTGATGAAAGACTCTTTTTATTTTTAAAGTCAGCAAATTGCAAAAAATGCTTTTAGTATAGCAAACACCAATTCCTTTTAGCATATAAAGTTTGAACATAATCTATACAAGTATGTAACCTGTTAATATAGATTTTTTTCTGTAATTCTACTGTTCAAGTTCTAAGGACATCTTCAAACTGTTGAATATTTACCTCTTTGAGACATTCAAGTAATTTTCTCCTATTTAACTGTAGCAACAATTACTTCTATTAAAAGTGTGACTAAAAAGAAAAATGACCAGAGTAACCCACTATTGGCACAAGTAAACACAATTATACACATAACCGCAAACTGTGTTAATTGATAACACTTTTACTAAAATAAATTTGCATACATCATGTCAACTAGAACTTATCTTTTAGCCAGTTTCTATTTATTCTTGCTTTCTTTATTAAGTAGGCTTAGGTCATATAATGTTGAAACATTGGTTCTTGTATGATCACTGAAGTTAAGCAATGTTGAGCCTAGTTGGTAGTTAGATGGGTGACTGCTTGGGAATACTAGGTGTTATAAGCTTGGATGTGCAGGTGGTGTAATAGATAATGGCTAGGAACTAGAAAGCAGAGTTCAAATTCTAGTCAGGTTCATTATATCCACTTATGCACAAATACCCTTAGGAAAGGTATGAATCCATCTCTTCTCCACTTAGCTATGGATTAGTAGGACTTGTATCAGTAAATCATTATTATCTCCAAGAATTTATACAATCTAAAAATATTTTAGGCTTTAAATAACCTGTAAAAGATTGATAAGTTGTAAAACAAATCAATTGATCAATGTTGAGCCCTCTGATTTTCTACAGGTGTCTGTTAATCCAGATAACCTTTAGGAAATTTCAGATTGATTCTTTAGTTAATCTGCGGAGGAAGGGATTAGATTGTTCTTTTTCCTCTGTACTTGTATAAGGATATCCCATCTTGTTACTGTTATTGTTGATAAGTCCTTATCCCAGAAATTCAGATAGAAACCACAAATTTAGTCAGTAAAAATAGAAATTACATTTGTGTATTTAAAGCTAGTCTTAGTCTTTTTATTCTGTCATCCAAAATTAATTTTGATTATACTTTCATTGGTCTGTCAACAGAAAAATTTAACTCTAATTAAAAATCTTCCAAAAACAATAATAATGGGATTTAATGAAAATGATTTAATTTAATGATTATTTAAATAAACTTTTAAAAAAAATATAATTTTTTACATAAAATGCAGTGAAAAATACATTTGTTTACATCAGGCGGATGTTAACTGTAAACTCAGTTCAAAAGTCAAGTAGGTATTGAGTCAGCTGCCATTACCTATATATATATATATATATATATATATATATATGAAACTCTGCTTATATTTATAAGCAACTCACAAGACAGCTAAAATTTGGATGACCAATAAATGACAAAACTTGATATGACTCAGAATGGTAAAAGTATATTCACAACATTAAAACATTATCACCAGACAAACAACATGCTTGTCTATCTCTCATTTTGATCAGAAATTGTGTTTACAGACCCATGACTTCAATAGGCCATTTGCCTTTTCATAGTAATTATTTATCTTTTCCTAATTTGCTAGAGTACCACAAAAAAAAAAAACAGTGTGTCAAAAGGAGTTATTCTCTTGACACTGATATTACTGTATACACTTTTGACTCCCTTGGTAATGTTTATTTACAAGGTTATAAAACCATGAGAACTGAATACAATGCGAGAATTATTACTGATCTTTTATAAAGATTTATTATTTACCATTTTATAAAGAAATACATTTGAAAAGAAATCATTTTATTCAAAACTTTATTTTTAAAAATTACAAAATTATCAAAAAAGTATTTTTTTTTATTGCTAAACTTTTAATTTTTCTTTGATTATTAATTATTTTGTTTCCAGACTACTACATAGTCTAGTAATAGGAGTTGGTGGTGATTTAGTAATTTATTTATTGCTATCACTACAGAATAATAAAACCACTTTCTCAGAAAACATGCTGTACCTTAATTTGATAACTTTGGGTAAGTGCCCATGTGTGCTGGTAAAATTTATCAGGTTAATCACACCAATGTCCACATAATAAATTATATACCAAAATAAACTCACCTCCCAGTGATAGTATTCAAAAGAAAGCCTATGCAAATTCTGTGATCTTTATGATTGATTATAAAAATTATGATTTGTATCAGTTATCAATACAGTCAAAAAACAATTCTCCTGATACAACAAAAATTTCCATGCCAAACTCCAAATGAAAGTGTTTGAAATTTAAGAAAATATTCATATTTAACTCTCCTCCTATTGTGAATCTGATTTAATAGAAATGTTAACAAATTCATTGAATTGTTTATACAAAGTAATTTTTTTAAATCACATCAGATACTAAGAGACACTAGATTAGAATATTGTTCCTAAATGTGACAGGCCTCTCTCGCATTAATTGGTCTATTTATCCAAAAATTGTCCTTTTTTTATCCTATTCTAATATCAGTTGTTGTTTTTTTTGTCTTTAATAATGTAATACTGTAAGTTACAACATGAGTTGTTGGTCAGAATTTGTTTCATAGACAAAGTTATACTTCTTTTATAAAGGGCATAACCCCTCCAAAAACTGTGTTATCAATACTGAAAATCTACTCTGTATTTTTCATAAAACTTTTAAAGTTTAATATAGGCAATACAAGAAAGGATGTCTAACTTGGTGGGATGATAATAATAAATAAGTAATGTAATAAATAATTGGCCAGAATCAAACTGGTTCTTGTAAAAAATCTTCACTGTTGACGGAATTTGCCATTTTTTTTTGTTATGGAATCATGGAATTTGGCTACTCAGTTAAATAAGAATAAAATGTCGGTCACTCCAGTCTCAGAAGAGTGACTCTAATTTGTGTGTCCACTAATTACTGTCTATAATTGTGTAAAAGCTGATTCTGAATAAAAGCCAGCACCCCCCTACCACCACCAACCTTGGCCAAAAAAATAAAATAAAGTAATTTCTCTGAAAACACAAATAAAAATTAGTCTGGTTTCATCAAGAATAGTCCAGAATTTCATATGAAGATACTGGCATCTTCTTAAGCGAAGATATTCTTTTAGGAATATCAACTCATCTAGGTTGCACACATAGGTAAAAAGTGGATCTCCAGTAAAATTCAACTATTCTTCCTCTCTCCCACACCCATAAAAAAAAATAAATGCATACTTTTCCTTTCATCACCAAGTAGACATTTTTTTTTTTTTTTTTTTTTTTTTCAAAGCTATTCCATGATGTTAGCTGATTATTATTCTTCAAATGGCTAGTCTTCACATTTGTAGTTTTTAACACAAGATTCCAGTTAAAAAAAAAATGATATACCATACACCTGTAGAAAGACAAAACTTTTATCAGCTAAAACCTCATGTCAAAGTCAGTAGTTTAAAAATGAAAAGAAAATATTTAATCCCTAGATAACCAGTTCAGGATTGTATTATGAAAAAAACACACATGCTTTTGCTTGGATGAAGATATATTTTAAAGAATATCCCTTGAAGATTTGAGTTAAGGTACAATCTTAGCTTCTTCATAAAAATCAGTCTAAGTTAATGAGCAAAGGCTTTCTTCAATGAAAATCAAGCAACAACAAAAGAACTCTTTAAAAATGCTCTGTATGTGTAAACAATGTTATAATAGTGGTGATATATGATGTATATCTATTTCATTAAGCTAGTTTCTTCAGTGTCATAGAAACGGCCAAAATTTCGAGACAGCAGCCAATGAAAATGAATAAAATTAAAATAAGACTTGCATTCTTCAGCCTTTCTTTAAGGAATTAATCAAAATGTGTTAAAAATTACAAAGAGCAATAATCTAAAAAAGATATGGAGTAACAAAAATACTTCAGCTGAGAAATTCAAATAATGCAGAAAGACCAAAGAATATATGAACTGAAATTAGTAACAATCATGATGAAAATAATGGTCTGAAAAATATATAAAATAATGAAATCACTTTCTTAGGAAACATGCTCTACCTTGGTTTGACAACTTTAGTTAAGTACATGAGATATATGAGGTGTATGTTTATTTCATTAAGCTAGTTGGCTCAATGTGGTTGATAAGATTATAAAAGACCATGATTTGGGGGTAGTAGTGAGAATCAAACCTACACTGTATAGTGTCTAACAAGTTTGGTTCTCGTGACTACTGGCAGCTCAGTAATAATAGTGTTAAATAAGAGTAAGTTTTCTACCCCTCCTCCCTTCACTCAATTTGAGGTATTATAATCTTCTGCTGATATAGTTTTTTGTAAATTCTCTTTTCAATTCTACTCCATGGTTTCTGCTATTATCTCTTAACTAGATTCCCAGAAAGCATTCGGACTTGATGGTATCCCTGCAGTAGTCTTTAAGAAAGAAATGTGCTTTTGAACTGGCTCCTGTTCTCTCTACAATAAATTCCTTGCTTTCCTGCTTGTTGGAAATTCTCTTCTATAGTTCCAGTGTTAAAAAACTCCAGTGAACCATCTGATCCTTCCTAGATGCTCTAATCAAGCAATATGACTTTCACTTCTCTAGGTCAACTGCTGATATATTAACAGTTATTGCTAAAAGAGTTTATCAAGTTTTAGAGAAGAAGGGTGAAGCTTAAGCTGTTGCTTTGAATATCTCAAAGGCATTTGACAAGGTTTGGCATGCAGGTCTTCTCCACAAGTTGAAAGTTTATCATATTTATGGATTCATTTTTGATCTGATTCAATCTTTCTTATAAAATCACAAAATAAAAGTTGTCTTGATCAGCCACTCATCTATATCATTTTGTATAAATGCAGGTGTCCCTCAGGGTTCTATCCTTGGACTTATTTTCATCAACAACCTTCTAGATGTCATCAGTTTACAACTTTGTATCTATATTGCTGACACAACTATTTACTCCTATCTTAATGGTAAATCTAATCAGTTAATATGATCAAACTGGCAGTTGATTCAAAAAATTAACTATAATCTGTTGTTAACTGGGGCAAGCAATAGCTTGTTAATTTTAATGCCTCCAAAATGAAAATGTTCTCTTTTAATCATCTTAGGAACTGTTTTTTATCAGCATAGCTGATGCTAATCTCCAGGAAAGTGACTCATTGTGCCTTCTTGGGATAACATTTTCTGCTGACTTCTGACTTCTTGTGAAATGGAAACATCATAGTGAATCAATTGCCACATCTGCTGCTAGGAAAGTTGTTTCACTGTGTCTTACTAGACAATTTTTCTCACCAGAATCTAACTTTCACATTTATTAACATTAATCCAATATCTGCTCTGGTGTTTCTGCTATACATTGAGAGATGCTTGATAAAATCCAAATAAGAATATGCAATGTCATTGGTCCTGACATCTCCACTTCAGCCACTTTCCCTGTGACTTTTCTATAAATATTTTCATGGTAATTGTTCAAATGAGCTCTTCACTATGGTACCTAGACTTTATGAATTCAAGCACAGTACTAAACTGGTGACAAGTTCTCATCAATTTAAAGTTGAGTTGGTTAGATGTA